TTTGATTTGGCTTTGCAATCGAGATGTGAAGTGGCACGCACACTCACAAAGCCGGCAACGCGCATGAAGTGAAGCACAGCTTCGTGGTGAGAGCGGTGAGCGGTGAGCGGCTATGGCAATGGCAATCAACTCGTGACTCATCGTGCTCGTTGCAACTCGTGTGGCTGAGTGCGTCTACCGATATGCGCCGAGAAGACTTAGCTCGATCGTGGAGCACTCGATTCGCTTGGCTTTCTTGTCTCCATCTCCCGACCGCCCGGCCTCTTGACTCGCAATTCCATTGACTTTTTCATCCCATCCACAACTTGACTGATTTTCAACGTGATTTGCCACGGCTCATCATCATTTGATTCAAATTGCTGCACGCATGCGTCTTATGCAAATCTGTTCAAATATGTGCATGCAAGGTATGAACGTGGCTGTGATGGGTGAGGCTCTTGCGCATCAGCACAGCAGTCATCGCGCTCGCTCGTAACTCAACTGAAATACCGCTCGCTACACTGGCCCTGCCCCCAGCAACCAGGCAGGCAGGCAGGCAGGCATTGCAGGCAGGCAGGCAGGCAGGAGGCGGCGCTCGCTCAACTCCACACACACGCGCGTACGCAAGCACCGATCGAGCCCGCTCCCGCGCGGCGGCGATTGACCGATCTGTCCCTGCCTGCCTGCTTGTCTGCCTGTCTGCCTGTCTGCCTGCCTGCCTGCCTCACCCTGCTGCTCTGTGCAAAGAGAAGGCAGCTAGCTGGCTGGGGGCTGGTGAACCGAAAGCTCATAAAAGCCAGCCAACCCTGTTCGCTCAGCAACCCTTTCTCTTCCACACCAATCAATCGCACAAGCATATCAAATCCTCGTCTCGTCCAAATTCTACGAACGCATACAAGCAACACGCAAATCGCCCCACTTGGTATTTGACAGAACTTTTCCCAAACCCCCCAAGCATAGCACAACATGCCTTTCACTTGCTCTGACAGTGAGTATCGCTCTGCTTTACCTTTTTCGCTGTCGCTTGCTTTTGCAGACGAGATGCCGCTCGGCTCGACTCGACTCGGCTCGGCTCGGCTCGGCTCCGTTCGACATGAGGGCGATCGAGCTGAAGAGCTGGTGAGGTCTAGTGCTCGCGGAAAGCCTACTCGTCGAAGTTGGCAGATTCTAGGATGCGTCAATGTAGCGGGAGGGCCATAGTCTCGTCAAGGAGTAAGCGCGCAAAGGTCCTTCCCAAGCTCAAGCACGAAACCGAAGCGCTCAAGAGATCGGTACCGGTGACTCGGAGTTGGGCCAGCGAGCGCAAAACATTCGGAGCGCCACTGGTCTGCTGATCTCTTGACAGCTTCGACTTAATGCAACTGACACGCGCATCCTACCTTATCCTTTGCCCACGCTTCAATCTTTGCAGTCCTGAAGATCTTCTTCGCCATTTTCGTCCCGCCTCTTGGTGTCTTCCTTGAGCGAGGATGCGCTGCTGACTTCTGGTGAGTACGTTCACTAGGACTCGATGAGAGGGAATGGGTAGCGCTCGATGGAGGAGAGGGAATGGGTAGCGCTCGATGGAGGAGGCGTCATACAAGGCAACATGGTCAGCCAGACACGTCTCCTCGTTGGCTTTATTCCCAAATCCTGTGCACGTGCGAAGGACAGGAGCTGATGATCACATCGATCTTTCCCTTGTTTTCCATTCACCTCGTCTGCAGGATCAACATCTTGTTGACGTGAGTCATTGACGCGTGCTGCGCGATCTGAAGCACGAGGGTTTGCAATGCTGACCATACCCGCTTCGCATCTATCAATAGCATTCTGGGTTACATTCCCGGCATCATTCACGCGCTCTACGTCATCCTCAAGTACTAAGCAAGTCTTGCCAAGGATGATAGGAAGGGATGAGCGTACGACATGCTAGTGTGCGGCAAGAGGTCAAAGATGGACTTTTTCTTGGCGTGCTACTTCGTCCTGGGGAATTGGCACACCATACCGCGACTCTCAAGATTTCCCCTCGCATTTGCGGTCAAGCATTAGCTCATGCCCTCGCTGCTTACTTCTGATCGAAATTCGATTT